TTCAAGAAAAGAGAATAAAAGTGATATGATCCTAGCTTTCAAAAGTGATAAATAAGATCATTAGCAATTTCTACAAGAGAATACAAGTTAAAGTGTTTTCATACAGTTAGTAGGTATAGCTAAGTTGTCCAAATAATGTCAACAAAATGCATACCAGTACTTAAAAAATGATAATTAAAAAAAATCATCAGTAAATTCTTCAAGAAAAGAGAAACGGAATTCAAGTAGTTTTCATATATTACTAGTAGAACATCCATGCTGCCCTGAAGCACAGCCTTCTTGCTGGCCTCCAGTGCAAGCTGCAAGGAGTACTCTTGAACGCCCTCCTCCTTTTTCCTAGTATGAACCTGTGCGAGTGCATCTGTCAATTCACATAGAATTTAACTCAAACTTTTAGAGCTCAAAGGAAACAAGTGTGCTTCTAGCAAAAATCTTGAAGATTATATGCCCTTTATCCTGCGCACGATCTCAAGTAAGTCAAACAACCAACAATCTTCAACAATATTCAACCATTTCTCACTCAACATTTAGATTTGTTTATATATGCTGCTTAGTGGTTATGGGGAAGATGATAGTGTGAGTAGAAGACCTGAGATGTCTTGCAGGAGACGAGAAAATGTGCATGTGACGTACTGTTTGACAGCAACCTGGGCAGCCTGAATATTACATATGAAAAGTTGAAAGTTCAATCTTAAACTTCATCTTTCTTCGCTTATTCGGACATCTATTCTTGTAATAATAAAAAAATAGGGGAAAGTGCAAACATATTTGTACAGGGGAAGGCTAAAAAATGGAAAGAAAAAAAAATCAATTAAAAACATTATACAAAATAAGACCTTCAAGGAATAATCAGGCAGACCAGCATCATTCAATACTTCCCCAAGTAAAAGCACATCTGTCCATATAATCCCTGCAATTAAAAACAGCTTAAGAATCGCCAGCTAAAAACTTTCCACAAAATTTAGATATAGTTTCTTGTCCAAATATGTGAAATCCCAGCTGTTTTAATACGACCAATGTCTAAAGTCGGTAGCTTCCCTGCAGCACAAAGACGCAACAGAAGAAAACTTTTCTTCTGAAGGTAGTCCCATTATGTAATGAAAATTCTCTATGTGAGGAGATTCCCACGCAAAATGACCAGATATTTTGAAAACCAAATGAAACTAGCAACCTAAGATATTGTCATGAAGATCAACAAAAGTAAAAAATAAAAATAAAAATAGAAGCCAGCACCTAAGGGGGGAAAAGCTTATGAGTTCCATATTAAATACACATGAATGCAATTTGTCAAAAATATGATGTTTCTTGAATAACATTTCAGAAAAGAAAATAATCCATAAATATGACTGGATAAGTTGAAGATTAACAATTACAAGAGATATAGGATAGAAGTATATCACTAACTTGTACAACTTACCAAAAACACGGAGAAGATCTGCCGCACAAATCTGTTTTCTGATAAATTGCTCAGTGGCGTCAAAATGCCTACAGAAGAAAAAAGGTGAAAACTCCTTCATGACCAAAATGATCCGTGAAGCCGAACTTTTAGTCAGGTATCGACCAATAAAAATAGAACTTATATTTTAACGTCTAAAAGAACAAACAACAAGAGCGATCAAGTACTTGGTAACCAAGTCCTGAGCAAGTTTTATCAGTTGCCTATCTGAATCTGCAAATATTACACGATAAGCTCGGATTGCCTCTGCAAACTCCCGAACAGATGCCTAACGAAGAAAAAATAATAGAAATGTCATAATTAGTATTGCGGTTGACTACATCCAAAAGTAATTGCCCTTTATTCAAGTTCAAAGCATAAACCTCGTGATTTTACTTGCCATAAATTTCAGTTTTTTTTTTTTAATAATAATTTATAATATTTATTTACTAAGATACAGAAACATTCCATACTCCAAAAAAGAAATGAAAGCAAAAGGGAAGATAAGATATTCTCCATGACAACCAATGGACCCACCTACAAAAAATAGAAATTTATTGAATTGAATAGAGGATAAATATTTATCTATTTTGTTGTCTGAAGCTTTATCCAGCGGCCCTTCAATTCAACCTATCGAAGGATGGCTCCAAAAGAAATGAAATATACTAGAGTTAACCTACCACAAGTAGAAGTTAGCTTACCTCATGTGAAGCACCATAAACTGACTCAGAAACATTTCCATCTTTTGAAGAGCCAATCACTAATGCACTACTCAAATCCTCAGCATTAAGCTGAAGATCCAATGTTGATTGTTCCAACTTTTCTAGCAACTTTGCCTTTAAACTGTCCACCTGCCAATATAATGGCAAATTTTCATATTATTGCATAGAGAAAATTGTTGATTGTACTAGAGCGATCAGAAGTATTTAATTTTTCACATCTTATACATGCTTCACTTGCCACAAGTGCTACAGAATGCCCATTGCCCATAATAGGCGTTAAAGAACAAGATATCAGCTTTTGATATTTCCATAAACGTCCTTGAGAAATTTCAATTCATTAATTATTGCATGTTGTGTACAATTTTGTTTTATTATCAGGGTAACGATTCTGCAGTTTAAAAAATGTACAAACCGGGAAATCGAGCTGCTTAAGAAGTACTGCAGCCTCCGCTCTCGTCTGTATGGATTCAGAATCTGAGAATAGCTTTTCCTGAAAACACATTGGTCAATTACAATGTAGACTATTTTTATAGCTAACAACACTTCCAAAACATTCAGCGACATTTTAATCACTATAATTCTTTTTTTATTTTATGGATAACAATAGAAGTTATGTAAATAAAATGTTATGTAAATATACCTGCAAGTTTTTCAAAACTATTGCTATTGCTTCTTCTGATGCTCGCTTGCAATCTTGGAATGAGGAGTCTCCATACACCTACCAAACAGATAATAATCAGTTTAGACTTATACCGAGACCATGGAAGATCTAAAATCCCATTAGCAAAGAAGGAAGCTTGCTATATGATTTATGCACCCCATTTTTTTGGGGTGGGGTAGAGGCCAAAAAGGCACCTTAAATATTGGCATGGCACCAGTATAGAATCTGACTGCATCAGCATAGGCTTCTGTTTTGATGCACTTTCCAAGTCTAGCAGGTAGATCATATATGAACTGTTCATGAATCATTTCCAGAGAAAAAAAAAATGAGCCACATGTCAAACCTCACATAAAAGTATAGGAAAGTAAGTATTAAAAAAATCTTGATTCCTGACACATAGAAGAAGATACACAACCACATTCTACATTCTATCGAAATCGTAACTTACATCTACAGTAACTTCTAAAAGCACAACAATACCATCACAATGTACTAGAAAACGATATAGGTTTTACAAACCCAGTTTTCTTTATTTGCTTAATTTCATAGAAAGCCTATGCGAATCCCGAGCATCGGATGTCATGTATACTTTTTAAACTGCAACAATCCTGAGTTGCTACATATCAATGCGAAAATAGAAAAAGAGAAATTCAGGATTGAATGCATGAAAAAAACTAGAGGCACTAGATTTCACCACCATATGTCCTATACTTTTTGGTACCTGAACTTTACAAAGCAGGTTTCGTGTTCGATGCAATTTCTCAATGTGCTCTCTTTTTTCAAAGAGAGAAGTATTAACTCCATCACTTCTAGACTGCACAGACAGTATCTGCAACAATTTGCAACATAAGTGGTAATCCCTTAATAGACTGCTTAAGAAAAGTAATTATTCTGAATGCACCCATTTAAAAAAGAATATCACGTACTTTTTCAAGTAGTTGTTCCATGTTTGTCTCCATCCCCACGATATTATTATTCATCCTGGGAAATAAAACTTCATGTGCATGGTAAGTAAGGCATTTGAGTCTACTTTATTAAATATGGAAAACAACAGATACAGTAAGGGAAAAAGTAAAAAGAACATGAAATAGGATAAAATTCTAGGCTAATTTGAGTACGATAGATTGCCAATAAGGAGGAAGAGTGTTGAACACAACTCACTGTGGGAAACACTCGCTCTCTTTATTAAGACCAATCGAGAAGAGAATACAAGACACTCTGTAGAATACTTCTGCTTTTTATTGTTTTTAGATTTCTTGGATGAATAACCTAGGTAGGGTGGGGTATTTATACTGAGCCTAAACCATCTATATTTAACCAATCTGAATCTAGACCTAACAAATCTAAATCTTTCTCCTAAAATATTTAGATCTCTTTCTCCTAAAATCTCTACTAAAATAAATATACTGGGCTCGTACAATTATTGGGCTTGACTCTATTGGGCTAGTACAATTATTGGGCTTGACTCTATTGGGCTAGTGATGATATTTCAACACTCCCCCTCAGCACTAGTCCTCATTCCCTGCATCATGTTGAGTTGACAGTGAAAGCTCTCACGTTTGCCAATATTCCGCCCTTTTGTAAACAAGTCTGCTACTTGGTCATCTGTCTTGATCTGCTGCATCTCGATTTCTTCCTTTAGGACCTTCTCTCTAATGAAATGGTAGTGCACCTCCACATGCTTTGTTCTAGCACGAAACACCGGATTTTCTGCTAGGCGAATCGCAGATTGGTTGTCGCAATGAAGTGGTATTGGATACTCAATTTTCTGGTGCCAATCTTCCATCAAAAGTTTTAACCATGTATTTTCCTAAGCTGCTCTATACTCTGCTTCTGTAGTTGATAATGATACTGTTGGTTGTCTCTTGCTACACCAAGAAATTGTTCCCGAACCAAACTTGAACACATACCCAGTGGTTGGCCTCCAAGTATCATGGTCTCCTGCATAGTCAGCATCACTATATCCAGCTAGCTTCCAGTCTTTGCTTCTTTTGTATAAACGATCGTAATTTATTGTACCTTTGACATATCTCAAGGTTCGTCGAGACGCATCCAAATGAGCCTTCTTCGGATTTTGCATATATTGATCAAGACACCAACTTTATTTTCGAATTTCTTCGATTGGTTCATCTAGAACTCTCTGTTTAACTCTCCATGCAAGAAAGCATTATTCATATCCATCTGCCATAATTTCCAATCTTTATTTACCGTAAGTACTGGAGGAACTTGTACGATAATGATCTTTGCCATTGGACTAAACGTTTCATCATAGTCTAGTCCATATTCTTTGGAGAACCCTGAATCTATAGTCTGAGCTTTGTATCTCACGATTGATCCATCCGGGGTACACATTATTTCGTAAGCCCACTTGCAAGAGATGAGTTTGGTATCTCTTGGTCTTGGCACTAATTCCCAAGTCTGATTTTGTTCCAGGGCTATAGTTTCTTCCTCCGTCGCTTTCTGCCAAGCTGAGTTTTGTGATGCTTCTTCATATGTCTCCGGCTCATTAACTTCGTCTTCTACTGCGTTGGCACACTCTGGATTTGCCTTTAGGATTATTTCTGAATGTCTGAGTTGTTGAGGTGTCATTTCATTTTCGCTAGGCTCGCTTGGTTGAGTCACTTCTTGCTCACCAACACTAGTGTCACTTGAATCTTCAGGCATATCAGCACTTAAGCAAATGTGTACAATTTGCTCCACCGTCTTTTGTGGAAGAATCTCTTCAGTTTGCTCCCCTATGTTCTGGAGAAGAATTTCTTCAATTTGCTCCCCTATGTTCTGGAGAAGAATTTCTTCAATTTGCTCCCCCATGTCCAGAAGAATGTCTTCAGTTTGCTCCCCCATGTCCTGGAGAAGAATGTCTTCAGTTTGCTCCCTCGTGTTCTGTAGAAGAATTTCTTCAATTTGCTCAAGGTGTGGTAATACTTCCTTCCTAAGGGCCACCCATCTTCCATTGCACCACTTTGATCGTCAATCATGTGGTTTAAGCATCTGAAATCAATAATCCAGTCATCCTCGTAATCGATATGCTCTTCCATCATTGCCATGAGTGCTAGCTCGTCTTCTACTATTGGACATAGCACCTCTGCATCCCATTCATCCTCTATCTTCTTTTTGGATATTGCCACATTGCTTTCAACCGACTTTTTCCTAGACCAACAATCTCTAGACATGTGGCCCTTTTTCCTGCAATTATAGCAAATACCTTCAAATCTCTTTCCTTGGAAACTCTGGTTGTCGTTCTTCTCAGCTCTCTCAGGTTGTGCAGTTCCTTGGTGGCTTCTTCTTTTGTCACCATTGTATCCACGTTTGGTAGACGGCCTATTATTGCTCCGACTTTCACTCGTGTAGAGTGCTTCTTCTTCACCCTTCAATATGAAGCCTCCCATTTGTTTAGCCATGGCTTCTTGGCTGGCTAACAAATTTTCGAACTCTACAAGTGTTGGTTGAGTGGGCCATCCTTGTATAGCAGTAATGAAGCTTCGATATTCCGGTCGCAATCCGTGGATTATAATCCTCTTCATTCGAGATTCTACAATGGCGTACTTTGGGTCTAGTTCAGTAATCTCCCGACAGATCGATTTAACCTTGTGGAAGTACTGAGCAATCGTCATGTCACGTTGTGTAATTGACAACAACTCACTCTCCAGAAGTTGTAGCCTCGTATCGTTCTTCTTTGAGAACAACATCACGAACGTGTCCCATGCTTCTTTCGGTGTCTTGTCATCCCAAATATGTTCTAACATCTCTTCTCCGATGGTGGTCTTCAAGGCAAACATTGCTTTGCCTGCTTTGATTCTCCATTTGCGCAATGCGCCGTTAGAATCCTCCTCTGGCGGCGTAGTTTCACACCCACCAACGATCTCCCAAAGATCTTGTCCTTGTAAATAGGACATCATGCATGTTGCCCACGTGTTGTAGTTGTTGTTGTTGAGTTTCTTGATTCCTCCAACGATTTGAAAATCACCCATCGTGTTGGCCATACCTCAATAATACCAAACAAGTTCTTTTGACACAAGACTTGCAGAGTCACAGACTTCTCACGACACAAAAGAAACTCACTCACACTAATCTCAAGAAATCGTTTCTGATGTGGAAGATCAGACAGAGCTGCAACCACAAAGCATACTAAGAATTCCAAGAGATCAGATAACCTACACTCACCTCGCTCTGATACCAAATGTTGAACACAACTCACTGTGGGAAACACTCGCTCTCTTTATTAAGACCAATCGAGAAGAGAATACAAGACACTCTGTAGAATACTTCTGCTTTTTATTGTTTTTAGATTTCTTGGATGAATAACCTAGGTAGGGTGGGGTATTTATACTGAGCCTAAACCATCTATATTTAACCAATCTAAATCTAGACCTAACAAATCTAAATTTTTCTCCTAAAATATTTAGATCTCTTTCTCCTAAAATCTCTACTAAAATAAATATACTGGGCTCGTACAATTATTGGGCTTGACTCTATTGGGCTAGTACAATTATTGAGCTTGACTCTATTGGGCTAGTGATGATATTTCAACAAAGAGGTAGTAAAAAGAATATAGGAGAATGAGGGTAAGACATGGGGAGAATGAGGGCCCTAAGACCATAAATATAGGACAATGAGGGTAAGACATGGCGAGAATATGGTTTCAGACTAGGGATTTAGTTTTACTAGTTTCATTCAAGTCAATTTGTTAAAGATCTTCAGATCTATATGGACCACATCTGGTGCTCGTGACTTTTGTCAAGCTAAGGTGAAGATTTATTGGGATCTAGATCAAGTCAATTTGGGGTTGGGTCAATGAAACTGCAATCAAACATGGTTTAAACCAAAATTTACATGGTTCGCAAAGCTAGAGACAGCAGAAGGAATGTGAGCATAGCAATTTCAAAGAATGTGAGAGAGGGTCAATATTTAAATAAAAAAATTAAATTTAAGAAAGAAAACAAAACTTTCCTGGAGAAAAATGAAAGAATGCGTAAAAGCATACAAAAGACAAGCCACAAAAGGAGAACGGACTCCAGCCCAAAAGAATTATACACCAAGCTGAAAATTGCAAAAAGTTTAATTAATGGATGACCATAAAGACACTTTAAACCTCACCACCTTTCACACCTCTTCAATTGCCTTCTCCAACCCTCTAAAAATTCTACTGTTCCTCTCAAGTCACACGCCTCACAAAATAGCACAAAAACAAGCTTGCCACAAGACTCTTCCTTTATTACGAAAATGAGCATTCATCAAAATTTCCTACATTGAAAAATGACCAGCCTTATTACACATCACCCCCACACGGAATACCTTTAAAAATCAACTCCAAGGGGAATAAGCAAACTAACAACTCATAGAAGATGATCAAGATCCTCCAGTTGTCAGCGACAAAGGACATAGAGCAATCCTACTAGCAACCTAAAAAGCCAGACTACTCTCAGACAATTCTCACAATGCAACCGTAGTAGCATTTACATATATATAAGAGACAATTTTATTGATATTTGAAATTTACAAAAAGGATGTTTTAACCATGATGTTTACATAAAAAACCTTCTCAATTTACAATAAGGGAGGTATGACTATAGCAAACAAAAGTATTAGACAATTTACACCAAGATATAGCATGGTAAACAGCATTGTCGAAGAGCGTTGTATAAGTCGGTGTCTTTTCCATTAATACTCTTTGATTTCTTCCTTTCCACATATTCCAAAAGAAAACCATGATAAAGTTTTTGCATAGCAAGACATTTGCATTCTTAAAGGGGTGATACGTTAAGGTTATGTCCAATAAATTCTTTGCCTCCCTAGGAAAAGAGAGATATCATCCGAAGATATTGAGTATCCTTGTCTAGAAATTCCAAGTGGCTTTGGATTCATTGTCTTTCTTGCATAATGGGCACCAACTTGGATATAGAATGTAGGGCATTCTTGTTTGTAGATTTACACTTATGCTACTGGCTTTATATGCGCTATTTTCCAATGAAAATACTACACCATTTTAGGATGATTTCCTTTCCATTTGTTTTTACCAGCATGGGGTTATTGCTTCTACTTTCTTCTCTATGTCCATCATTAAAGATTGTAGAGAAGAACCCATCAACGCTAGGAAGTCAAGTCAATGTCAATGAGCCTGCTTCTTTAGACAATACAACTAGGGCAAGACCGAGGCTTAATTCAGCCCATTTTGTAGCTTCATTATCCTTTAAGTTCCTACGAAGCTTCGGTCCCAAAAATTGTTAATATTGATGCAAAGGATTTTTAGTTTCCTTTAAGGGTAATCTTTGTGCTAACATTGATGCCCATAATCTTTGTTTTGTGGAGATTGATATCTTGTTCTAAGAACCTTTTGAAGGCTTTTACCGTCTCGATCATATTTTTTTATGAAGGAGACATTTGACAAATGAGAGAAGAGGATCATATCATACACAAACTAAAGGTGGTTAAAACTTAAGCCTTCATTACCAACCTGAAAGCCCTTTATCTGCCCTTCGTATTCGACCTTGGTGAGTAAGCAACTGGGGCTATCCATTATCATTATGAAAAGAAAAGGGGATAGTGATCCCCTTGTCGAAGACCCCGTGAGGCATATCTTCCCTCTCGATCTTCCATTGATGATGATGGAGAAGTTTGTTGGATGAAATACAGCCTTTCATCCACCTCCATCATTTTGAGCCAAAGCCTTTAGCTACAAGAATGTTATCGAGGAAGGAAAGTTCAATCGACCTCATTGAAGACCTTTTCCGAGTCAAGATGACCTTTTTGTTTCTTTCTTTCTCATTCATCTATAAGTTCATTTTTCTTGAGGGATGCATCGAGGATTTGTCATCCCTCTACATAAGTTGTTTGTTACTCAGTAATCATGAAAGAGAGGATCCTTTTAAGACATTTTGATAGATCCCTGCCATGATTTTGTGTAGTTCAGTCGTACGACTTATGGGGCAAAAGTCGACTACAGTATGAGCATTCATTTTCTTTGAGATCAAACAGAAATATGTTTCATTTAGGTTGCATCAATTGGGCTCTTGTCAAGATCGTGGGAAAATTCAAAGAAGGCATCATCCTTTGCATATAAGGACATGTAAAAAGACACAAATTCTTAGACAATTTCATCTACGTTACTAAACTTTTGCCTTGTGTCGATAGAATGTCCATGATGGTACTCCTTCACGTCTTTGAAGCCATGATACGATGGAAAATTTTGGATTTTATTCATCCTCCTCTGGTCATCATTTTTTTTAACATTTTTGTCTCCAAGATTGTTCTTGCTTTGCTGCCAACAAGATAAGTTCTACTTTCATGAGCTTTTTGGTGTGTGTTGAACTAAACTCTATGCAAATAACAAAGTCTAAGAGAAAACCAAGCCTATAATGGGAAAATAGCTGAATGAATACCTTGCAGAATCTCTAGGGAAAGCTATTGCAACTGCTCCCTTACCAACAGATGGCTTCAGGCGGTTGTAAAACAATTGTGGTCAATTCCTTCTCTTACGACAGGTTTGGACAGCTAAAGGCCTCGTGGCCACCTAAGGGGAGTCTTGAAAATTTATAATTCTAGGTTCAATAACATGATAATTGAGCAGCAGATAGACGGGGGATCTATGTCTTCCTTGGTTAGAGTATGCTGGATAATCAATTAGGATTGGTTGGTCAGATAGAGTGTCATAAGGGGATGATTAGGAAATGAGAGCTTATTGAGGAGTGAAGGCTCAAACAGAGATTCTAAGTTCATCAAATCACCTATAACTTATTCAACCTTCTGTTGTACACAATGTTTATTCATATTATATATCACATATGGCTCCTCGTATCATAAACCTAATTTTGCTCAAATACTAACAACATAACCTAGAGAAATCATTGAAATGGACAAACTTCTAAACAACATTCACATTTCACATATGAAAATTGGCTTGATAATTGTTGGGAAAGAAAAGACTATTAACCTTTTTATTGTATCAGTTGCACTGATGAACTTATTGTAATTTTCATAAACCAACATTTGTAGATCTGTGTCAAGATTCTTAATCTCAGCAGCCATTTCGACATGTTTTTGAAGGAGCCCCTCCAAATTCGACTTTTGTACCTACATAGCATGGTAAACTAAAATAAATGAATAAAAAAATTGGATTTTACTACTACTAGTGAAGTTCAAATACAGAGATACATCAATTAATATTGAGCAAAGAATTCCTTTAAACTCCCCTTTAACATCTTTACTAGGGATGGGAATTAAAATTGAATGAGATGAGACTCAAAGTACAAGGACCAAAGTATTTTAACCTTCTTTTTATATATACTTTTGTTCACGAGAAGCTATACTTAAATTGAAAAAAATGAAAGAGTACAAGGCACATACAAAAAAAAAAACCAACCCCCAAAGGGAGCCCAAGTAAAACAAAAAATAACTCCAATTAAGCATATGATAATATACAAGGTGGAATGACAAAAATCCTCACACGCCAAAGCCCAAAGGAAAACATGGAACCTAATAAAAGATCAAACTTCCTTTATGAACCTCTCAACCCCCCTAAAAACTGTTCCTATCACCCCAAATGCCTCATAATATAGCACACGTGTCTGCAAGACACAAAAAACAACGCCCATTATGAAAAGTAGGCGAATCATAAACTCCTCAAACATAGGGCTGCAATC